AGATGTTTTTTATTATCACTGTGTGTTAATAAAGATGGGTGCTACCCTAATAAAGAAAACCGTAACATTTATGGTAAGATACATTCTTCTGGAGGTTCTTCAATTGATGACAAGTTCATCGCTCCAACTCGTGCTTAGAATTTTTTATAAAACGAGCCTGAGTTAATCAGTCATCATGAGCTCGATTGAGCACTTACTGGACACGTGTTTATCATCTCACTTCTCTGTCGCGCCATCTATGGTATTTGAGGTATTTAAGCAGACAATTAGCACGTGAAAAAATAGTAATTATGACTTACGTCAAGAGTTATAAAAAACAAGCTCCACTTTTTCAACAAGCGAGCGGTACTACTAATAAAACAAACGTGTATGACCAGCCGTGAGATTTTGGTGATAGCGTGCATCCGTTAGGTGTCGCCACCAGATCATAAATTAACTTTTATTTCACCGCACGACTTCTAGATTTTTAGAAGGTGATTTGCAAATTCCCGACGAATGGGCAACAAACTTTTTATTAATGCATCGTCACCTGGTGTTGAATTATGAAAACAAAAGTTGTTATGACATAACAAAGTCAAAGGCCGTAACGAGCAAACAAAAAAAAATGAAAAATACTTTACAAAATGGAGACCTGAAAAGATACGCAATGGGAAAGCATGAATAGAAAATGTAACACAAAATCATTACGAATATTATTTAGAAACTCTGGTCACGAGAGTGTTATTAATAGGGATATTCATTAGTGCAGTAAATTCATTGCTAACATATACGTGTATTTAGAATATATGAATTGTTAACAAAAGCGACACCTACAACTTTATAAAAAAAAACAACATCCAAACGTATTACATGTGGTTTTTACTGTCTGATTGTCAGTTATTACATTCAGTGTGTTTTCCATATTACTATAGCCCCCCCCCAGTGGCACAGCGGTATGTCTGCGGACTTATAACGCTAGGATCCTGGTTTCGATACCCGTGGTGGACAGATAGCCCATTGTGTAGCTTTGTGCTTAATTACAAACTAACAAAACATATTACTGTCAGTTACTGCAGTTAGTTTTACTGTATTTCTGTCATTTATTACTAGAGTTTCTACTGTCTTGTTGTCAGTTACAACATGCAGTTCTTACTGTATTTCTACTAGTTATTACATGCAGTCCTTACTCTATTTATTTTAGTTATTACGTGTGGTTTTTACTGTCAGTTATTATATGCAGTGTTTTCATATTAATGTCAGTTACAACGTGCAGTTCTTATTGTATTTCTGTTAGTTATTAAACTTGGTTTATACCGTCTTTCATATAACTGTCATTTACTGCATGCAGTTTTTCATATAACTGTCAGTTACTACAGATGGTTTTACTGTATTTCTTTTAGTTATTACGTGTGGTTTTTACTGTCTTGCTGTCATTTATTACATGCAATGTTTTCATATTATTGTCAGTTACTGCATGTAGTTCAACTGTCTTTAGTTATTACACGGAGTTCTTACCCTATTTCTTTTAGTTATTACGTGTGGTTTTTACTGTCTTGCTGTCAGTTATTACATGCAATGTTTTCATATTATTGTCAGTTACTGCATGTAGTTCAACTGTCTTTAGTTATTACACGGAGTTCTTACCCTATTTCTTTTAGTTATTACGTGTGGTTTTTACTGTCTTGCTGTCAGTTACTGCATGCAGTTCAACTGTCTTTAGTTATTACATGCAGTTCTTACCCTATTTCTTTTAGTTATTACGTGTGGTTTTACTGTGCTGATATTATTACTGTCAGTTACTCCATGCAGTTCAACTGTCTTTAGATTAGTTATTACACGCAGTTCTTACCCTATTTCTTTTAGTTATTACGTGTGGTTTTTCTGTCAGTTATTACATGCAGTATTTTCATATTACTGTCAGTTACTGCATGCAGTTCAACTGTCTTTAGTTATTACATGCAGTTCTTACCCTATTTCTTTTAGTTATTACGTGTGGTTTTTACTGTCTTGCTGTCAGTTTTTACATGCAGTTTTTGCATTCTTCTTATCATTGATAGTTATTGTTATAACAGAAACCTTTTTGTTATTATGGTTCCTAAGCGATCTAATTGCTGTAACGGTTTCTAGAGCTTACACTGCTAATGACTAACGCCATCTTTGAAGTCCAAAATATTATTACCTATACAGAGAAATTCAAAATTGCTTTAAGCCTTTTGTTTATAATGCGCATGCGTAGTGGTTTGTGTATAGAAATTTTCAAATTCGTATTCGGGCTCTTAGCTATTGACTGTCATAAGTTAATATCTTTTTTTTGTAATTGTTGTTAAAAAATAATATTTTTCTTTGTTTATTTTATCTGAACAATTTTTAACTTCAATGCGGCCTATCGAGTTTAGTATCAACTACCAAACGATATGAATTTATATATTCCTTTGATATAAACAACTGGTTCACAAAACAAGTATTACATCAGTTTAAAATAAGAGTAACTGTACTTAATGCTTGAAGTAACTATCAAATATTGTGTGAAAAAAATTACAACCTAATATATATATATAAGCAACGTCTTACCATTCAGAATATCGTAAAATTTGCGAACAGAATGGTTTATACTCAATCGTCAGCCACAAAGAGTATTAAATATCATATTTGAGAAAAAGTTACTAACTGTAGAGAATGTTATGACAGGAATCAAATTTTTGGTGTTATTACTTTGTTTTTTATCGGATGAAAACATTGTTGTGAAATTTGAAGAAAATCATAAGAAACCATAGCAACACGTTTATTATCTCTTACCCTACATGAGCCAAATCACTATAGCAACGCCTTACTACATTTTGTACTTCAAGAGAAAAATCACTATAACAACACCTTTACTGTATGTTATACTGGACGAGTCAAATCACTTATAGCAACAACTTTACTGTATTTTATACTACACGAGTTAAATTACCATAACAACACCTTTTGGCCCGGCATGGCCAGGTGGTTAAGGCACTCGACTCGCAATCTGAGGATCGCGCGTTCGAATCCCTGTCACACCGAACATGCTCGCCCTTTCAGCCGTAGGGGCGTTATAATGTGACGGTCAATCCCACTATTCGTTGGTAAAAGAGTAGCCCAAGAGTTGGCGGTGGGTGGTGATGACTAGCTGCCTTCCCTCTAGTCTTACACTGCTAAATTACGGACGGTTAGCGCAGATAGCCCTCGTGTAGCTTTGCGCAAAATTCAAAAACAAACACCTTTACTGTATCTTATACTGCACGAGTCAAATCACTATAGCAACAACTTTACTGTATTTTGTACTGCACGAGTCAAATCACCATAGCAACACCTTTACTGTATTTTATACTGCACGAGTTAAATCACCATAACAACACCTTTAATGTATCTTATACTGGCGTACTTGTTAAATCTATATGACCCATAGTTGAATGACAAATTTCACAGTTTTCCTTTTTCGACAGTGTATTTTTATACTTCGAAATCTGTAATACAAATTTCCTTTGCATGCATTACCTTATCATTATTATGGTTACTCAATCACAGCTGGTCCTTAAAGGACGTTTCTAAATAATTTTACCACGCAGAGCTCTATTACATACTGGCTAGAGTACCCGTCCCCTGGACGGAAGTTATGTAAATTCATAATTAATGAAACGTTATCTTAGGACATGAAAGTTGCTTCCCTTGTTTGTAATTGTAAAAAAAATGCCCATAAAAACTGCAAAACGTAAAATTTGAAACCGCAAATTCGCGTGTATCTCTCCATGGACCCAAGAAACCTTCATGCCAAATTTGGTGAAGATCCATCAACAGGGGACGAAGTAGTGGTAAAAAAAAACGCGAAAACACCCATAAGAACCGCAAAACGAAAAACTGAAAATTGTACGTATCTCCCCATGGACCCAATGAACCTCCATACCAAATTTGGCGAAGATCCATCAACAGGGGACGAAGTAATGGTAAAAAAAAAATGCGAAAACACCCATAAGAACCGCAAAACGAAAAACTGAAAATTGTACGTATCTCCCCATAGACCCAATGAACCTCCATACCAAATTTGGCGAAGATCCATCAACAGGGGACGAAGTAGTGGTGAAAAAAAAAAACGCGAAAACACCCATAAGAACCGCAAAACGAAAAACTGAAAATTGTACGTATCTCCCCATGGACCCAATGAACCTCCATACCAAATTTGGCGAAGATCCATCAACAGGGGACGAAGTAG